GTTGTAAAGAAAATAAGAGATATAAGTATTATTCCAGGCTTTTGGCCTAAGCCACTATTTATTTACTCAGCTGGGGAAGACTGGGGAACAAGGGGTTAGGAATGCATTTGTTGTAGGGGATTTGGGTTAGCGGTGGGAATTCAGCAGCTCTACCTTGAGCATGCTTGGTTTGAGATGCCTACTAGACATGCAAGTGGAAACGTCTGGGAGGCAGCTGGGTATATAAATCTGGATTTGGGAGGAGTCTGGGCCAGAGATATAGTTGGGAATTGTCATCATTAAGGTAATGGGGCTGGATGAAATCACCCAGGGAGGGAGTGTGGAGAGAGACGAGAATAGGAGGGAGATGAGCTAGAGCTCTGGGACACCCCAAAGCTAAAGGGTCAGGAAGATGAGGACAGATGACCCTGGAGACAGAGAAGGTGAGGCTGGAAGGGAAAAACAGGAGAGGGTAAGGTTCCAGATGTCTGGAAAAGATGGTGTTTCAAGAAAGAGTGTGTGGTCAGCCGTATCAAATGGTGCTGAAAGGCTGTACCAGGGGACAACAGAGAGCTGGCAGCTGCGTTTGGGAAGGCGGGTGTTCTTGCTGAGTGTCTCAGGGACAGTTTCCAGGGAGTGGGAGAAATGATCTCATCAGAGTAGGGTGAGGAAAGAAGGGAAGGTGAGCCGACAGTGTTTATTAAGGAGTTTCACTCTGAAAGGAAGCTGAGACAAGGAACAGTGGCTGCAGTTGGATGAGGCCAAAGANTGCCTGGCATCCGCTGTCACCTAAGCCTCCAGGCTGCCTTTTCTCTAGGCCTTTGCTGGATTCCCACTTGGAGAGGACAGACATTTAATTGCTAAAGACATCGCTTTGGAGCCAGCTTTCAGGGAACGTTTGAGAACGTGATCCCGCTGGGGGCACAGGCCAGGCTCGCATTCTCTGCAGAGGCCCCCAGGCGAGCCTAGCAGTGACTGACACGAGAGCCGCCCTGGTTTCCACCAGGCTCCGGAATGGCTGGAAAGAACAAGAGGACATTTCCTTCCAAACAGCATCCCGTTATTTTCTGCACATTAAGTCCAGGAAACTGGTCACTGCTGCAAGTGTGGTAATAAGCGGCTCCAGGGGGGGGCTCAGCAAGGCTGTTTGCAAGGCGGCTGCAGTTGCTCGAAAGGGTGTAGGATTGCTCCAGGGACCAAGGTCACAGCCGAGAGGGGCCTTCTATGTGTAACCCAGTCCAAGCTCATACCACTCACCACACAGCAGCCAGTGAGTCGAGTGGCAACGAGTTGGGGCAAGGAAAGCGACTTTATTCAGAAAGCCAGCAAGCTGAGAAGATGGCAGACCAGTGCCCTGAAGAACCATCTTAAAGTATAGAATTCAGCCTTCTTTTATGTCAAGGGAATGAGGGAATGGGAAGGGTTGATGACCAGGGATACCCGGGCACCAGCAAGGTCCCAGGAAGATTGCTTTGTTCTTAAACCATACATACTTCCCTCACCTCCTCGGGGGATGCACTTTCTGATAAGGGGCTATGTTTGCGAAACTCAAGCAGCAAGCGAGCTCCTGGAACGATTAACACGTCTACATACAAGACCAAGCAGAAGCTATTAACCTAGAGGGTGGGAACAGGACAGGCTTGAGCAAAACGGAGCCAGAGAGGCCGAGCACTTCACCCTGTTATGCATGCGTGGGGGGCCCCTGTTTATTGGGCGGCAAGAGGGGTGCCTGTGAAGTCCTGGGTATTCATTCCTCCAGCTGCTCTGAAGGGTCTCCACCCTGTAAATACTTGCTGTAGCCCTCGGGGCCCCCTGGACCCCCACCTTCCAGTGGCCCCACATCCCTTTGGCTTAGCAATTATCACACCATTTCTCCTGCTAAACTCTGTGCTCCTTGACGATTGTTAACTTTGCACTCGTCCAGGGCCTGGCCAAGTTTCGAGCCCATCACAAAGGCTTAACTAATACTTTTGAATCAATAAATGTACCATTGTGCTTAGCCGCTTAATTTTCGTGCCATAATTGTGAAATTAAGTGTCCACTCATGGATCATTGCATTTAGGCTCTGAAGCCAGGTAGGTCTCCTACTTCCATCACACATCAGCCATGTAACTGTGGGCAAGTTACAAACTCCTGGTTCCCTCCTCTATAAGTGAAAGTTTCCACCGCTAGGATTGCTGTGAGGATAAAATGGGATAATTTATATGGTTTGGCAGAGTTTCAGTAGTTGTAAATGACAACAATGATTTTGTCTGATTGAAGCTAAAAAAAGAAGTTGTTGAAAAAATAGTGAGCAGCTCGTAATAGATCAGTGAGACGGCTGGCCAGCGAGGCTTGGGAGCTCTGCAGCCTGGGATAACAAGCCAGAGCAGGGCCCGAGCTGGTCCTGTGGGGCTCCCTGCTGCCACCCCTGCCATCTGCTGCACCTGGCATAGGACACTCAGCTCCTGCTGGGGCCGCTGCTGTCCCCCAAACCCAGTCCTGCCAGGGAGCTAGCTCCCTCTGCTGCCGTACAATTCTCAGCCTCGTGCAAACTCCAGGCCTCTGATTGGCTGAGCCGTAGTCACATGTTCACTTTGTAGCTGCAGGGGATCCTGGGAGAGCAGGTGTCTGACATTTTCAACCTCTGTAGTGATGAGTGGGCTGTTTCCCGCAGGATTCATGAAGCAGGAAGTCCTCCCAAATGGGAAGGGGGCTTCTGACAGTGGGTAGCCAAAAGGATGACAGATGGTCCCTGGAGACATGAACACTAAGGGTCACTGCTAACGTTCGGCCTCTGACAGGGAACACAGTCCCCACTCTGAGGCCGCATGGAGCACCTTGGTGAGTCAGAGACAGTCGGCCGTTATGGTTTATGGTAGTCCCAGTGAGAGGGGATGGTTATGTGCAGTGCTTACATTTGGGTAGATGTATCCTAGGGCAGACGAGAAGGAGTTTTTTTAGAGGAATTTTCTAGAAATGG